AATATATTCAAGGTTTCATTCCATATATCCAAAGTTTCATTCAATATATTCAAGGTTTCATTCCATATATCCAAAGTTTCATTCAATATATTCAAAGTTTCATTCCATATATCCAAAGTTTCATTCAATATATTCAAAGTTTCATTCCATATATCCAAAGTTTCATTCAATATATTCAAAGTTTCATTCAATATATTCAAAGTTTCATTCAATATATTCAAGGTTTCATTCCATATATCCAAAGTTTCATTCAATATATTCAAGGTTTCATTCCATATATCCAAAGTTTCATTCCATATATTTCAAGTTTCATTCCATATATTCAAAGTTTCATTCAATATATTCAAGGTTTCATTCCATATATCCAAAGTTTCATTCAATATATTCAAGGTTTCATTCCATATATTCAAAGTTTCATTCAATATATTCAAGGTTTCATTCTATATATTCAAAGTTTAATTCAATATATTAATTTCCTGAACGGCTTGCCATAGTATACGATCTTTATAGTATATCATAAAAGAACGAGATCTTTATATTTATTTCCGAAGGAAGTGAAAACTATATGGTTCTACTTTGGAAGCTTTTATTTTGAAGGGCTGAAAGCCGAAAGTAAATTTTTTTCAGAGACGCGATTTGGTCTTTGAAGGTAGGCTTCGTGTGTCCGGATCAACTATACTGCATTAACAGATGAAATTCATTTGTTTTTACAGACAGTAGATACTCTTGTCTCTCTCTTTGTAGAGTAGTAACAAGAATCTGAGATGATCTGATGACCTCCTCCACCTGATCAGATGGAGTCTGTTCAATGTCCTCATCAATCAGAGTTGGTTCAATTTATATTTTATATATTATAGCCTACTACTATATACTTTATATTATAACATAATACGATCTTTATATTATAACAGAATACGATCTTTATATTATATAATAAAAGAATGAGGCCTTTATATTTAGTGAAAACTGGACTTTGGAAGCTTTTATTGGTTAAATTATTTTTTTTCAGTGACGCGATTTGGTCTATGAAGGTAGGTGTGTCAGTGTTTTTCTCACCATATTTTATTTAAGTAAAGACTAAACAACATTGGAGAACAGTGTAAAAGTTCATCTTTGATGTTTTAAAGTTAAAACTTCTTTTAGTGTTAAGTGTTAGAAATCCTCTAATGATCGCTAAATGAACACTGAGGATCCTGAGACACTCACAGGCTGCCTCACCTTTTTTTAGACTTTATGGAAATTGATGAAAATATTGTCAAAACTTCAGGGAAGACTTAAGGACTAAAACAAGAAGACTCAGGGAGGACAATATGTTGAAGATATTAATAAGCATTAATTTTCCGTCGAGATAAGACAGCTGGCTGTCTTTTAATTTTCCAGGAAATGGCTCTAAAAAAATAACGCTGGTCTCTGTGCCCTTCATTATTGTTTGATGATAGATTGGTAAATGTCTAGAAAAGTACATGTCTAGAAAAGTTGGAGAAATTTACAGATTCTGTGGTAAATGTTCATGAGTCTATACACAAACTGTCCTCAGAGGAAAATCTGGTCCCTTTAACACTATTTGAAGATAAAATGCTACACGAGAAGCTATTACTGTACTTTGTACTTTAGCTGAACTTTGCCCAAACGATGCCGACCACGCCCCTTTCTGGGTGAAATCATTCCATATGAATGAATGGAGGTTAATGGAAAAGTTGGGGTCTTTACTGATTTAAAGTCTTAAAAAATCCTAAATCTGATGACCAGTTTTGTAAACATTTAAAATATGACATTTCTGAACAGAGATCGACATCATAACGGTATAAAATTAACCATGTACATGAGTGTCTGTTCAATCTCTCTCCGTCAAACTGCTCAAACGAGTCATCAATGGAGTCATAAACTGAGTAATTATTAATAGTAGAGGAACAAACCCCCCAAAAAGGCTTTAGTTTTCAAGATACCCCTACCCGAGGTAGAACAAAGCACACCCATATTTTTTCATAACTTGAACATGTCTAGTTTATGAAACGGATGGTTGTATAAAAATATTTGGATGTTTTAAGCATCTTAACAAAAAACGAAAATAGGTCAAATTAGGGCTTCTCCAAAAGGGACAGCTCAAGCCTTATCACATGTATCTCTGGGAATCAGAATCAGAATTTCACCGAAGTTGGACAGGATGTTCACAGATAGTTATTAGTTACAATTATGCAAAGTTTTGATCAATACCATTTTGAATTTTTCACACTTAAACACACATGTAGTTTAGGCGGAAATACATTAAAAAAAACTACAACAGGCTGTATAGCCGATATACAAATAGACTATATGAAGTATATTTAATTTCTAAGAACTTAAGGTTATATATATCAATACTGCTTTTTAGTTCATTAATATTTCACAACTGATCTCAAGACAATGCTTTAATTTTTTAGAATGAAATAGAAACAATGTCATAGGTGACAATATTGTTGAAAGCAGCGGGTTGACTCTGAGTGTCATCATATAACTCAGGGGTGCCCAAACAGTCGATCGCGATCGACAGGTAGATCGCTGACTGATTCTCAGTCGATCGCGAGATGTTTAGTCAATATAAAATACAATTGTAAAATAGAAAAGTGATTTCAATTTCATCTCATTGCAGTGTTTCCCACACACGATACCTGTGTGGGGAGCCCAAGTATACTTCCGACCTGTGTGCATTTAATTTTTCATTTATTCATGAAATTGCTGCGTGCATGAGAGAGCGAGCGAGAGAGCGAGCGGGGGAGCGAGAGAGAGAGAGCGCGCAAGAGAGAGTGCAGGCATGCGCAATGACGTGCAGGTAAAACCGGGGGGGTAAATGTTTTACCAAAAAGTCATATATAGAAACTATGCTACGAGTATTAAGCGCATTTGATGAAGCTGCAGCTACTTTTCTCTGCTCCTCTCTGCTGTCATGACTGTGAGCATCGCGGGGCACACCAACATACAGCGCAAACGCAAACGCACACACACACACGCACACACACAAACGCACACGCACACACTTGCACTGGAGAGCCAGCCACCACGCGAACCTTTTTACTTTTTACTTTTAGTGCTACAGCACACAGTTGATCCGTGATCTGTACGGACCGAGGCGGGAACACACGTGACCCGGTCAAACAGTCGGTTGGACTTTACTCCGTTCACTCTCACCGTGTCTGCAGCTAATTTAACAAAAGCAACATCATCTCACAGCAGCCTGCTGTAGTCTGTGAACATCTCCACACAGATTAAAGTTGTTTGTTGTAAACTAAATTAAGGGGAAAACATATGTGATATAAATACAAACTTAATATTAAAATGTAGCCAACCCTAAAATAAGAGTTTTAAAAAAAGTATGTCGATATTGCATTATTTTTTACAGAACTCTCATTTATTATTTTCTGTTTGTTGTGTGAGTATTAAATGCGTTTGTAGGCTGTTGGTAAAGGCTATGGCTCACTATGTGGACTGGTAGATCTCGGCAGACTGGCAACTTTAAAAGTAGATCTTGGTTCAAAAAAGGTTGGGCACCCCTGATATAAATCATATGTAAGATAGAAAATATGAGACAAAATGTATTAGGAATTACTATTAAATGTTTAATTATATATATATATATATATATATATATATATATATATGTATTACAGAGTACAATTATATTGTGTCTTGTTGTTGAGTCTTAATCAATTGTTTGTGGCCACCTCCTCCCACATACACATCCACAGGGCCCCAATGTACCAGGTCGCCCTGAAATCCTGGCTGCACTAGTTTCCTGTTAGGGGCTGGTGACAGCATAGGGTCAAGTGACAAGTCAAATAACTTGCTTTTATGTTGAGATAACAGTCTAAAGAAGATACAAATTACATATTTTAATGTTTGGTGTCCTTACTTAAGAAATGACAGACTTTGATATACATACCTTTTGAATTTTTGTTTCAATTTTCAATTGAAAAATAAAAAACATTGAAAATGGTATTAATAAAAACTTTACTTAATTGTAACTAATAACTATCTGTGAACATCCTGTCCAAATTTGGTGAAATTCTGATTCTGATTCCCAGAGATACATGTGATAAGGCTAGAGCTGTCCCTTTGGAGAAGCCCTAATTTGACCTATTTTCGTTTTTTTGTAAGATGTATAAAACATCCAAAAAAAGTTATTTTGCAGTAAAATATTTTTATACAACTATCCGTTTCATAAACTAGACAAGTTCAAGTTATGAAAAAATATGTTTGTGCTTTGTTCTACCTTGGGTAGGGGTCTCTCAACTTTTAGGGGCCCAAGTTCCTCTAGTATAACCGTGTTACCCGAGAGGGATCTTCACTTTTAAATAATATTTAATTGTAATTTCTAACAGTGTTCATAGCTGTAATGGAGTGGTCACAGACGTTTAGTTTAGAGAAAAGGGGACACTGATATTAAAACCTTTTAATATATATATATATATATATATATATATATATATATATATATATATAATATTCATACGTGAGTGTAAATAATGATGAGTGGGGCGAGACGAGGTGTTATATCAAGCTAGAGAACTTTTTATTTTGACATTTATTTTTGGTGTAGTGTTCCTTTGTTTAGAGACATTTTCACCAACATATTTATGTGACGTGACAGTTAAAGTGTTGTTAATACGTTAGTGAACGTGTGAATAATCTGTTAACAGACTTCTCTTCTGTCACGGAACGATCAACAGGAATGACAGAGGTCCCACAATTTACCACTTTAATCCTCTAGTTTCAGTCCAAACACACAGAGCTCTTCTTTTATCCTCCATTGTCATTTGTAAATGAAAACCCATCATGATGATGATGATGATGAAGATGATGCTATTGAAGATGAAGATGACGATGAAGATGATGATGATGATGATGATGATAAAGATGATGATGATGATGATGATGAAGATGATGCTATTGAAGATGAAGATGAAGATGACGATGAAGATGATGATGATGATAAAGGTGATGATGATGATGATGATGATGTCTCTGATTGCAGGAAGTTGAAAACACTTGGGAGTTTGTAACCTGTCCTGTTTGGGGTTTACATTTCTCTTCCTCCTAAATCTCCATTTGAGTCACTTCAAACAGATGAGAAATCTGTGATGGTCTGCTGTAAAAGAGAGAATGAGACCTGGATCAGCTGCAACGTTTCTGGTAAATGATCTTATTAAATTATCTGAGCAGTGATTCAGATTTTATATTTCTCCTCATCAACATTTCTTTCTGTGTTTGTTCTTAATGATTGTTCTTCACATTTACAAATAGACAAACTTTAGATGTGAAGATTTGAACTCTTTCACTCTTTACCTCTTCTCTCTCACATGGACTGGATGATGATTTTAGATTTCTCTCTGTTTTACAGTTTGTCTTCAGTGAGAACATTTCTCTTTCTCTTCACAGATTCTCCTGATGATTGTCTTCACAGGTCAAACTTTCTCATGTGATAAATATACGTATGAGATCAATGATAGATGCTGTCGCAAGTGTCCACCTGGTAAGGTCCAGTTAATAATGAACTTTATTTCATTTGCATTTATGTCAGAGACATTTTACACCTGGTTAACAATCTGCGTCTGTCCTGATGATGATGATGATAATGATGATGATAATGAAGAAGATGATGATGATGATGATGATGATGACAATGAAGATGATGATGATGATGATGATGATGATGATGGTGATGATGATGATGATGATGATGATGATGATGAAGATGATGTCTCTCTGATTGAGGGAAGTTGAAAACACTTTTCTTTGGGAGTGTGTAACCTGTCCTGTTTTGGGTTTACATTTTTCTTCCCTGTGTGTGCTCGGGCCCTAATAATCATTAGGGATCTAAGAGGGTCCTCGATCCGAGGTCGGTGCTCGGGCCTTAAAAATGATTTCTTAATGTTGTTTTAAACAGGAGGTCAAGTTCATGAAGACTGCACAGAGTTAATAAGTACTCTCTGTAAGCCCTGCACTGAAGGAACCTTTATGGACCAGCCGACTTCCCGTAGAGAGTGCTACAGATGTACAAACTGTGAAGGTAGATCTCTTACATTATTTATCAAACTTTGGAGGAAAACTAATCGAGAAATTGTCACAACTAAATAAAGATCAAAACATGTTACTAAACAGTCATCATTCTAAAACCAGCTTTATGACCTTTAGTTAGTTTGAGTTTGATTAACTTCAGCAGATCTCTAACACAGAGATGATCAGAGTATTTGTTATTTTCTTACACCAAACTGTTCTTTAGTAGAGCAGAAGTACAGTAGTTCCATAAATAATCTCTGTGTTTGTGTCGACAGGTTCTGGTCTGCAGATAAAGATGCTGTGTACGTTAGTATCAGACACAGTGTGTGAACCTCTGGAAGGCTTTTATTGCTCTGACTCTAGAAAGGACAACTGTGTGGAAGCAAAGAAACACAGACGCTGTGAACCAGGAGAATACATCAAAGAAAACGGTTAGTGTGCTACACGGTTAGTGTGCTCTCCATAGTGTGCTATTCAAACCCTTCTGGAATCAGGAATTGCGGATGCTGTGGGACAATATAAGAACAGCGGAGAAATCTCTCTAAATTTAAGGAAGCACAAATCTAATTTGACATGAGGTTACACACTGTGAAACACAAGTTTAATAGAGGTCTTTCATTGCACATTGATCACCTACAAACCCATAATCCCCAACAGCTTTGGAATTAAATTAATAAATTAGGTCTTAGAAAGTCTAGTGGAGTTCCCATGGAAATAAAACTAGAGAATGGGGAATGATATCTGTTTTAGGAATTGTTCGATATAAATGTGAAAAATATTTTGCTGATCTGTTCTGTTCAGAGTAATATGCTTCTTATGTACAGAGAGAGAAATGGTCGTTTGAATTATGGTTCTAAACCGAACATTACTGAGTGGAAGCCTATGTTAAGTTTAATTTAACCAAAAGACAAAGAAAGATCCTTCTGCGCACAGCTACGTTCATGAACATTACCTTTAGCTTTAGAAAGCGGCAGGTTTAATGCCATTCCAGAGGAAGACAGAGTTTGTTTGTTGTGTGAGCTTGGTGAAATTGAAAATGAGATTTACTTTCTGTTTTACTGTCCGATCTAAGATGACATCAAGGATGTTCTTTTTTTTTTTAAATCCTCAATTTACACTGATTTCTTTTGGCTAGACCATTATGAAAAACTTGAGTTGTGTTTTAAAAAAGGAACCTGTGTTATAGCAGATTTTAATGTTAATGTAAGCCGCACATGAACCCATAAGGGTTGATAAAATCAATCAATCAAAAAAATGTAGTCCAAATGGTTTAAGAACAGCGTTGAGTTTCCTCTGGGCTCGCCTGTAATTGAGGCAAATTTCACAGGATCCTTAACTTTTCCTGTTGAATTGAATTTATTTATTTAATAGGTACGAACATAGTTTCAACACAGAGCATGAAACTGATGTGCTGCACGGAGAGTTTATAGCTATTGCTAATTTACAACTCTTGTCCATAGTGGGGCCTTTGGTTAGCTGAAGTTTGAAAAAATGATACAATCATTTTATGACTTCATTTTGTATGAGTTTTATAACCTTTATGGTGATTTGTGTTTGTGTGACACTCATGTCTAAAACAACCTTTGTGAAATAGTCTCGGCACATGTCTTCCGTATTTCCTGCAGGAACTTCCTCCACAGACACCGTGTGCTCAACCTGCTCTGATGGAACATTTTCAGACGGGACGTTTACATCTTGTCAGAAACACAAACAGTGAGTGAAGCTTCACATCGCACATGGACACACCTGAGTTCATGAGATCCTACAGATGTTCCTGTAATAACTATCCCTCTATCATTACAGATGTGAATCAGAGGGTCTAACGCTGCTGACATCAGGAACTAAGACAGAGAATGCTCAGTGTGGAGGACTACTGTCACTCTGGACTGGACTGATAGTCGGTGCTGTTGTGATGTTTTTACTCATTGTACTTGGAATGTTTTGCCTCGGATGGTGGATAAGAAAACATTCAGGTAAGGTTTTCACTGTGACAATGAACATGATCATGTTTATTTTATAGATATTATGGTCTGTGTCATCATTAATTTTATTTTTATTTTTATTATATTTATCTAATGGTTTATTCCAGGACAAAGATCGCAGGTATGTTTTAAACTCTCTTTACTCTCGACCTGTTTTATGTTCAATGATTAAATAAAGTCACTCACTTGTTTAAGTTTCCTGTACAGGAAGCTGTGAATACAGAAGATGTAGTCCTGGAGATGGAAGATCTAAAGTCAGATGAAGAGCCAAAGGTGAGCCAGCAGAGCTTTGATCAAATGTTCACTGACTGAGATCAACTCTGTCATGTTTTTACAGCTTTACTAAATGTTTGCTTTAAACTAAATGTCTTTTCTCCTCAGGTTGTGAAAGGTGAGTTAAAATTGGTGCTGGCTCTGAGTAGATCATCTCCAGGATCCTTTGCCGAGCCGTACGATGCTGACCCACTTAGGACGCGATCACACTCTTTAACAGACATTGAGTTATGCCTCGGCAGGGTAGAGTTCATACATAGCACAAACACGCTGGCACGCCTCTTTGACAGCGTTCAAGAAATCTTTTCAAGAAGTTTTACGGCTGTATCTGACCAAAATGATTCAGAATAAGCTGCAAAGTCAGCAGCCACATGTTCGGTGTGTCCTTGGACAAGACACTTAACCCAGAGGTGCTCCCCCTACTTCGTCTGCGGCTTATGAATGTGTATGAATGGATATGAATGGATGAGTGTGACCTGTTGTTTTTATTGATGAAACTAAAAAAGCTGAACTGAGATTTTTTTGTTCCTTGTACAGTTTTTGTACTTTATACATCCAGTTATGTAAAAACATGGTGAGATAGATTTCTCTTTTCTGTGGATACTTTCATTGTACTGAATGTTAAAATAATTCATGTGATGTCTTTCTGTGAAACACTTTATTTCTGATTGAACTAAATATTGGTGAGGAAATGTATGACTAGTGATGTCAGAGCGCTGAGTGAGGTTACATGTCCGGGAGACTCTTTATTCATTCTGTTTTCAGAAACTAAAACAAGAAGTGAATGTTTTGTGATGTGATGTTTTATATGACTGATCATTCTTCGTGTCTCCTGTTTTAAGTCCTTGTATAATCTGTTTGTACGTCAACTTTTCATTGTTTTTGGGTTTGTTTTTTTTGGGATCAATATTTTTTTATTATTTATGTTTAAACATTGTTACTTACAATAAAGAAAAAACAAGATGTGGTTTCGTCAACAGCCCACAAATAGGACAGGGGAATCAAATACAGTAGGCATATATATATATATATACACACATAATCCCATATACAATACATTTCAAAAGAGAGATGAAGACAGCTGACTAAAGGGGCAAACAAAGATTGAATCTTCTCTCTCCCCTGGATTACCACAGCACAGAAAGTATACATACAAGTAAAGAATAATGGCAATGAGGGGGGCAAAGAGAAGAATTCTCCCAATATTTCCCACACCTGCCTACCCCAACCTCCCTCTCCACCCACCCAGCACTCCCTCTCTCACTTTTCCTCCTTTTACATAAATACCTGATGGACCAGATATTTTTGTGAAGTTAACTTACCGCTCTTTTGTATCAAAGTGAATAGTCTAGATGCTGATTTTTAAGATGACAGCCTACTTTGTAAAGCAAAGATCACTTTGACCTCCGTATGATGCGAGGAAGATTTTTCCTTTTTATTGTTTGTCTGCAGTAGTAACACATCACAGAAACTTACTTAAGGGTAACAAAAAGTTAGATTTACTCTTTTGCTTCTGCACATGGACCAAGAGTTGTGAAGCATTTCAAAGATCAATTGGACAAAAACTGTTACCTGATGATTGAGCCAAATGCAAAAGAATATAGAAAATGTTTAATATCTGCACGGTTAAAATGATATCTCACTGAATTTCTCAGGCAAAACAAACCTAAGGAAAGGTTCAATCATGGAGGTAGCTTTCAGTAAAGCTGAGGCTAAAGCAGTAGTCTGAAAAGTTTTGGGATGTAGAGCATAAAGGAAGTCATCTTTATCAAATTCAACAAAAAGTGGGAAGAAAGAAAGCAATAGAAAAAAAAAACAGGAGAGAGCAAACAATAACAAGGAATAAGAACTGAATAAGTAAGGTAGTAATCTTAACACTGTGGCCGACACTCCAGCATGGTAGGTGGCGGTAATGCACCTCAAAAAGATAAGAAGGAGGCAGGAACTAAAGTTCACAGACTTTGTTCCGCCGGAAAGATAGCAGAGACGCACACACATTCGCCGTTTCCTTGGTAACCACTACGTTCGCAATTTCACCTGTCAGCTTAATGAAAACATGGACATCCAGGAACTGAGTAAGTACACGAAATCACTTCAACTATGATTATTGCGATTTCGAGGTAAAAGTTTGACTGTAAATCCTTAAAAATACGAAATAAAGAGTTTAATAAAAAAACATAACAAATGAAGGATGTGTGAAGCTAACACATGTTGTTTTCAGTTACGTCCAGAGCTAGTTTACAGCATGTTTAGAAGTCAATCCTCTTATAGTGTCACATTTTGTGCAGTAGATTATTTTAAATCTTCTCTTAAGTACTCAGAGATTTCCTCCCCTCGTTTCCCAGAAGCCTGGAGCTGTGGAGACAACATGGTAGAAGTGGTTGAAGAGAACTTCGCTACGTCCAGGTGGGTTTCTTTTTAGTCTTCAGAGGAAAGTCCAAAGAGGATTTCATGTGAGTCAGAGCAAGTCTCAAGTCCCTTTATCGACTGTAGGTGATGTTTACTGCGACCTTAAGTCCCAAGAGCTTCAATGAAGTAGTTAGTAGATAGTACAATGAAGAAGTGATGTAGGGGGGGAGTCAGTGGTTGTAGGCAATGTTGAAGAAGTGAGTTTTGAGGGATTTCTTGTAGGAAGTGAGTGTGGGGGAGTCTCTGATGTCTTTAGGGAGTGAGTTACAGAGGGTGGGAGCAGCAACAGAGAAGGCCCTGTCCCCCCAGGACTGATAGTTGGTCCTGCAGGGGGGGACAGGAGGTTTGCATCTGCAGACCTGAGAGTGCGGGTGGGAGTGTGTCGGTGGAGGAGGTGAGACAGGTAGGGGGGAGCCAGGTTGTGAAGGGCTTTGTAAGTGAGGATGAGGAGCTTGAAGTTGATATGCTGAGGGATGGGGAGCCAGTGGAGGTCATGAAGAACGAGGGGTGATGTGGTCTCTGGTGCGGGAGTGTGTGAGGAGACGAGCAGCGGAGTTCTGGATGTATTGGAGCTTCTTGAGTGAGTGTGATTGATGGTGATCCGTAGAGGAGACTGTTGCAGTAGTCTAATCTGGAGGGGATGAATGTGTGGGTGAGGGTCTCTGCAGCTGAAAATGAGAGGGATGGGCGTAGGCGGGCGATGTTTCTGAGGTGGAAAAAGGCTGTTTTGGTGATGTGTTTGATGTGTTTGTCGTAGGAGAGGGTTTGGTCCAAGATGACACCAAGGTTACGGATGTGGGGGGGAAGGGAGCACTGTGGAGCCATCGATGGGAGGGAGAAGTTGTTGGTGGATTAGGGATTTGACTATATGATGAGACATTAAGGAAACATGCTATGTTGAAGTGCTGGCTTCTCTGACAACAATGCAGCAGTCAGTATGTCCTCCTTCTAACTTTAGATTCTGCTCCTGAATGCTCTGGATTTGTTTGGACCAGAGAAGGTAGGCGGTTTTAAGACATCCCCACACGGCCGTTTTGGACGCCCCTCGGTTTGCCACATATGAGAGCAGTTATCAGGTCAAACCAACAGGTGTTGCAGTGATGGAAGCGGGCAAGAGAAGTGGTTCAGATAGAAGTGATTGTACCCGACCTAAAAAATGTGACATTGTTTATGTTGTAGTTGTGTGATTATGGATATTTATCTTTAGCTGTTTTCTTGATTAGCTCAAAACTAATTCCCTAATATGTTTCCATGCTGCTACAACTGTAACGGATCTCCTACAGTTAGTGATTTTGTTGAGCTTATTAGTTGACAGGTTCCCAGAAGCACTACCTTGTCTCTGTGTCAATATAATAACAACTCCTCCTTCTGTTGTAAGCGGTTTAACTTAAAGTGTACCTGGCTAATCTTCATTTTCTTCTACCTTCAGTTCCTCAGCTGCAGATTCTGCTTTTGATGCTGTCATTGGCTGCATAGAGGACATCATCATGGGTATGATTTGTCAGTCTTTTCTCAACTTTATTCAGCAAACAGTCAAAACAAAGGGATTGTCTTTGTCCTGTATTGTTAATAATATCACACCTGCTTATGTGCTTTGACAACAAATTGATTGAGCCACAGAATATGAGAAATGCAACTTCTTTCTAGAGAATCGATTTTTCTTGTATTGGAGACCAAATCAATTGTGATTGAGGCTCTCATGGCGCACTCACACTAGATAAAGGTGTCCCATACCGTGCTTAAGCACGATTGCCCCCCCCTCCCCATTCCCCTGCTGGCCTGCACTCACTCTGCTCCAGGACTAACTGGGCCTGAGCTGGTTACCTCTTGTACATACTGTCTTAATACAAGAAGACAGATGGACTCAAATTTTTTTTTTAATGAAATAAAAGGGACGCACAGTCAAGTCAGCCTCCGCACATCGGAGAACAACATAGAGAACATGACAGCTATTTTTACTGATGGTGTGGCTCTTTTGAGTCATTTCACTCAGATACAGCCTTAACACTCTGGGATTTCTCAATAATGAAGGCTGTCCATGTTGTGAACCCGTGCGTTTGCTCATGTATAAACTGTACCGTGCCGAAGCACACCTCTTCAAAGCGTGCCAGAGCCAATGAAGTGTACCGTGCTTACGCACAGATCGGAGCACTCACACTAGCAAAACGAACTGGACTTCAGGGGTGAATTGGCTTAGGCACGGTATGGATTGTGTGAGTGCATCCTTAAAATGCTTCAAATAATTCAATATGTCTTGTCCTTTTTTCTAGTGCTATTTGGGAATAGTGATTAGAGATAACCAATTAATGCTGATGATGCATTTTCTTTTAGAGGAGGAGTTCCAGCAGCTTCAGAGAAGCTTCATGGAAAAACACTACATGGAGTTTGAAGACTCTGAAGAGAACAAGCTCAGCTATACACCAATCTTCAATGAATATGTGAGTAACTGGATATCTCTCTGTGGTCTTCTGGATATCCCACCCAGGAATCATGTGTTTTTTACAACCAAATTCATAGTTAACAACTGTTGGCTGTTGTTTAGGTTGACCTGCTGGAGAAACACCTGGAGCAGCAGCTGACGAATAAGATCACCGGCTTCAACATGAACAATTTCATACAGCTACTCATGTAAGATGTGACATCACAACTTTATGCCATTTTAAGATGTATTTTACTTTCTGTTATTGGTTTTATTGAAAGTAACCTGTCAAATTATCCAGTTTCTTGTTTAGTGCAACTTTTGCTCCCAACTTAATTGTGCAACAGACCACTAGGTGGCACTATGGTGCTCTGAAAACATGATCACATTGAGCCATTGTTTCTCTTCCATCTGCAGGCAACACAAGGAGGAGGTACCAGGGGACATTTTTGACATGCTGCTGACGTTTACTGACTTCATGGCCTTCAAGGAGATGTTTCTGGATTATCGAGCAGTGAGTTGAAATTAGTCTGCTGAACATCCTTTAGAATAAGTGATATGGGATACTGATTTGAATGATTTGCTTTAACCCCAGTTATATGAATCTGTGTGCTTGCAGGAGAAGGAGGGTCGAGGTCTGGACTTAGGTGATGGACTGCTTGTTACATCTCTGATCCATGCAGGTTCCAAACACAGCAGCAGCACTGAACTGAAGTGAAACTCACACACTTGAATGACCTCCTCCTCCATGTTCCTTATTATCCATGGGCCTTCAGATTTTCCTTAACTTGTGGTCCGTGTTCTCGTATATTCTGTGCTCTGACTTCGAGCTGCAGGGTAAACCCAAGATAAATCTACAGTCTGCAATTTTTTATTTTTAATGTGACCAATGAGATGGCATATGTGTTCCATGAACCACTTAAGGGAAAAAGAAGAATCCTCCCCAACTACACCGGTGGACAAAAAAGCTCCTTGAGATATTTGTATTGTGTCTCTGGATTATGCAGATAGAGTCCAAATTATAACCTTACATCTTTGTCACATTCGCCCAAGAGATTTCTATTTTCTGCTTGGGTAAGAGAGCGGGAACCCTACACTCTGGTCCTTGTGAAAAAGGAACCTCCTTGTGATAAGGGGAGACATTTGATATGTTTGAAATTCTTTGCCCGGTATTAAAAAATATACCAGAAGTAGAATATGTAAGACAATTTTAAATCATTTGTTGCATCTGAAAACTGATTGGATTGATTTTTGTGCCTGTGATAGTCATTTTGAATGTATAAGTTGATTGTGTCTGTGTTTATGTCTACTATTAGAATTAAGAGTTATCGTTTAAAGGACAATGTTGAAGTGTTTTTTACATGACGGTATTAATTGTTTACGTTTAATGATGTCACTGGTGAAATGCTGTATTGACATTTGTAAGTAGAAATATATTTTAAAATAAATAGTTCAATCCTTCATTTGAAATCATCACTTGCTTTATTGGACCAGGTGCATGGTGGAGCCCCAGGACTCGCCGCAGGATTTCACCAGCATACTTGTTTTTTGTACAAAAACACAAAATACCTCATAAAGGCACATAAAACAGGAGCTCGCCAATCAATAATGTAAACCACACATGGGTTACACATTTTTCGATGGCTTTATGTCCCATTTGTGGAACCACATTTGAATCATTAGTTGGATGACGTCCTGCAAAAAGTTGCATTTTCATGATATACTAACTAAAACAGTACATTTTTAAATCTCATTTGGTATATACATCAGTGGTGCTTTTCCTCGGCCCATGTTGAATAAATATAGGTTCCTATGTGAGATATACAAAGGGAATTGAAATGGATATCTGCAGGAAACAGACTACACGAGCATGTATTCTTTACAGACCATGTTAGGAGGCTTAAAGGTCACATATTATCAACCAGTTTAAATAATTCTCAGAGCTACCAAAAACATGTCTGTGAAGTGTTTTGTTCTATATCCACTCTGATCCTGTATTTGATCACGTCTATAAACCCCTCAATTTCAGCCCTCCTCAGAACAGGCTGTTTCTGTGTCTGTACTTTAAATATGTAAATGAGCTGTGTCTGATCACGCCCCCTCTCTGGGAGGACTTGGGTGGCTCCATGTCCTATTGTTTATGGTGAGAAGGCAGACTCAGAGGGCAGAACAAACACCTAGCTGTGGGAGAGTCACCCACCTGGGGGAGGAGTTACTGCCCTTTGTGATGTCATGAAGGGAAAATCTCCAAACGGCCTGTTTGAGCACACATTTTCTGAAAAGTGGAGCAGGCAAAAGACGCAGAGGATGGACTTTTCTCATAATAGCTGGGATTGTGACAGACAAGGGACACACGTTAGTGTTAGAAAAACATGTTAAAGTGTAATTTGCACAATATGTGACCTTTAATTAATATGAGAATCACAGTTTTTCACACAGGAGTCAGGGCTTCACAGTACAATGTTCTGGCATTACTCACCAACATAAACAATGCTCTGTAAACAAGAAGTTTTCCCTTTGTGTGATGTCATAAAGGGAAAAGTGGAGTAGGCAAAAGATGGAGAGGATGGAATTTTCTTATGATTGGGGGTTTGTAGACTAGACTAGAGACACTTAGGGTCAGAAAAACATTGGTACAAGTTCAAAACCATATCGTTAAATCAAAACTTTTTATCAATGAAGAGGATCAAGTACATAACTTTACAGCTTTACACCAACATTGACATTTAGAGACATTATTCAATCTATAGAGACTTTAAATGGCAAGATGGCTGATCGCACCAGTGCTTATATTACAAGTGCCCAGTGAGCACTCACCGGGATTTTAGTGTTGAAAACGAGACCAAATCTCAACAAATTTTCAAACAGTCAAAATAATAGAGGTTAATCTATGTATAGATAAATGTCTTCAAATAGTCATTGAAAACTCTTTTGAATGTCTTTTCATCAAAAAATACTCGCTGGGTGAGCCCACAGCTGGCTAGTAAGCTCAGCTATAGGTAAGGTTACAAAACCCATCTTCCAGCCAATATAAAGCGCTTTACTTTATCATGTCATAACTTGTTCTCATTGTAAACACAAGTTGCAGTTTTTCAGTGGTTATGTACTTGACTTTTCATAGCTGGAACATGAATTAATTCCCCCATCCAAGAAATGAGCGAGTGTGGCAAGTGGCAACTGGAAAGTTACCCAACAAAGCCACTTCATCAAAGTATTATGTCGGGATGCAGAATCTGAGCAACACCTGATTGGATTATCCAGTGCTGAAAAACAATTTGTTCCCATAATGTGAATGAAAGGTCTACTGAGGTCTGGGTTCCCAGAGTCAGCAGTCGTGGTTGAGTGACAGTATTAAAAAATTTGGAGGAGAAAACATGACTTTCTCCTGATAAGCGTCACAGTTTTCTGTCCTAGGTCGGCACTGAGTTGGTGGCTGCGTTTCCTCCATCTCCCTTCCAGTCCAAATAGGAGAAGAAAGCACTGGCACCGTACGCCAATGTGACCACGGCAGCGAAGAACTGAACAGAAAGAGAGGCAGAGCCACACGGTCGGGTCAGGAGGCGAAAAGGGGGAGAAGAGAGATAAAGACACGCCTTTAAATGAGTCCATAAAAGAAGAGAAAAAAGTCTCAGATCTTCAACAAGACACATAAATCACAGATACATTTGTATGTGTTCACACCTGATGGATTCCAGGTAGATGTTTTTTATTAACTTTTACTGCTGTAATCTGTAAATAATCCTGTCAAATGGCATGAAATGGAACTGAGTTTGTGATAGGACAGGGCGTGTGTGTCTTAAATGCTACTGTAGCTGTAAACCAGAATGCACTTTCACCTGTGGGCCGGACTATTGAACTTGTAATCTTTGTCCAAGTGTGCAGATTTCTGTCTGACACACACAAACACACACATCAACTCTGAATCGGCTGCCCTACATCGACATCCCTTTTTTTTGAACATTTACTCCCATAAAGAGTGCAGGGGAGAAGCGAGTACTGCAGCTGCGGTGTAAAGGTAAATAGGCTTTTAAACACCAATGAACTGATATGATTTACAGCCATGTGAGCCATACAGCTTTTCCTATCTGCCTCGCTTTAAGTTTTGTGTGAGTGTACCTGACCGTGGCTGATAAGCAAACATGCCATTTGAATCACACCTAGCTAAACAGTGCAGGAGGGGAAACCTGCTAATATGTACAATTTTCAATCAACTGAACAACTTTACAGACTTAATTTTTCCTATTGATTAATCCAATTGTGTAATATATATAAATCTGTTTATAGATGCATCCACAGGGAGTGTGTCTGAAACTCCTTTAAGGACTCCTGACTATTTCCAGGCATTAGACTCTTGATCAGTGACTGTTTATGAACACTGACAACATGACAGCTCCCTAAAAGTGAAGCCAAAAAAACAGCTCCCCCTACTTACTGGCTGCAGTGTAGGTCACAAGCTCCGCCTCCATGATATAAACAGATGGTACATTGATGGTAAATGGTAAATGGACTTGAGCTTGTATAACACTTTTCTAGTCATCTGACTATTCAAAGTGCTTTTACACCACAGGTCACACCTACACATTCACACACTGATGGTAGAGGCTGCTGTGTTAAGAGTTCATGAGAAGTAACTAATCTCATTCATACACATCTATACGCTGCGGACAAAACAGCGGGAGCAACTTGGGGTGAAGTGTCTTGCCCAGTGACACATCGGACATGTGGCTGCAGGAGCTGGGGATGGAACCCTGACCTTCCAGTTTAAGACGAGTGACTCTACCACCACAGCCGACCTATTGATCAAACTATAAAATTCAGAACAGACACAATAATCTGTTGTGCTGTGGACTGTACCAAGGCCTTGTCCCAGAAGCAGATGCCAGGCCCTCTCGAGCAGATTGAGCTCCCCCAAACTTCAATGAGGTAATCGGGCACTACTACCACCCAACGTCCCTGACACCCAGCCACCACCATCGGACTGTGTCGTCCCCACAACCACCGCTGTCCTCATTCATGAACGACCTGCTCTGACCTCCACCTCAGCGGCAAGGAAGTGTGGACAACAGGAACGTGAGGAATACAAAGGAGAAATCCCTCCTGCATCTTATCACAGCTCCCCCTATACCATTTTTCTTTTGTCACATAAAAATGAGTAAGGTCTTCTACCTGCTGTTTTGTAAAACGTCTCAAGATTGGCGCAATGCAAACAATGATTGATTGATTGATAAGTTAAATGTGTGTTATGTTATGCCACAGAGGATCCCAAACTACACAGACTCTGGCTCTGTCTAATATTTTAGTCCCACACATGTCCCACACGTCCCACATAGCAGGAGATTATCTATGTTGGGCACTTGCTTGGATCTGGAAAGTTTGGTTAAGATAAGGGAGGGGCTCCCTGGGTGGAGTACTAAGGCTATTACTTTTTCTGGACTGACATCCCAAAATGTACAGGGATGTACCCACATCACACAACAGTTGAAATCGATTAAAGGCAACTTATTAAATTGCCTACTTGCTAGCTGTTAATGTCCAGACTATCAGTTAACTCATAGGACTGCAGGCTAAAGTCATTGTAATGTTGGGGTCAATGCATTCTGACTTTTTTGTTCTTACCTGCAATGTAGGAATGTGTTGACATTTTTCAGGAGTGCAGTGCATGTGTGAAAGTGGTGTGAGTGTTTGAGTGGTGTCAGGTGTCTTACAGCAGCTGCTCCAAAATGTCCGTGGAAATAAGAATGTTTGAAGGGATGCACAGATGCTGCGTTGGCCAAGAAGGCGGTCAAATAAAGGAGTGTTGCTATGCCGTTATACCCCATCACCTATTAAAAAGAGAAAAAAAGACATTAGCAAACAACAAATTCTCCACTTTTTAAATTTGTTGGCTCCTTTTTCTGTCTTTTTTTTTAACCTCTGGTGTTGAAAAATGAAACCAATACAGAAGTGCAAAATCCTGCAAGTCTTCGTTGTCAGCCTCCGGAGCCCCCTGCAGGTGATGTCACTCAGGCTTCATCTATTAAAATTTACAGTCTATGCTTGAAACCATTTCATCAAACTGTAGTGACCAGTATGCATGAAAGGTAAATAAAGTCCTCAAAAATGTTTTAATAATGAAAAACTTAGTGTTTCAGTTTTCAGGACCTTAATGCCAGAGAGGGATTCAAGATTGATATTAAATATTTCTATTAAAAGTTATTTTTTGGGCAATATCTCTGCCTAAATATTACAAAACGTTATTTTACCTCCCCCATGTCATTCCTTACCGTCAATGGCCAGGGGACAAAGGTGAGTTTTTCCTGGGCCCCGAACAGGATCATGAAGAAGAGGATGGTGGTGAGGATCCACAGAGTGACGGCCACAAACATAACCCAGCCGTACACTGGTAACACTGTGTAGGAGGCGCTGGCTATCAGTGCCCAGTGGAGCAGCCCCATAACCTACAGAGACGAAAGAAAGACAAGACAGATCAATAATGAAGAAGAAGATGAGGTGTGAAGGAAAATTAAAGGTGCCAAGAGGATAAACTGTTCAATTCAACTGTTAAATAAATGAAAAGGACAATAACTATGAATTAATAAACTATGAGTAAAGGAGAACACATAAGGGTGAACCTCTTGCCGCTTTAACAGATCAAATGAAATGCTAATATTAAGGACAGCTAAACACGTTATTTGAATTTGATCTAATACATATAGAAATGCTCTTATTTTTAAATGTTTTATTGTTTCTGGGGAGCCAGTGGCCGGGTGTTTGGTTTGCTGGTTGCACTTCTGATATTCAACTTCAAAATAACACACCACTTGAAAGTGCAGCTTTATTCTCGTAATAACACAACTTTAATCCTGAAAATGTTAGGACTTTTTTTTGGCAAAGTAAAAATTGACATCTTGTTTTAAAGAACCACAGTGGTTCATTTTGGACATAAAGCAGTAATTAAATGTCATATAATGTATTGTTTACTCTACGTGCTCTCTATACATTCAGCATGGTTTCTTTGACATTAAAAAAATGTATACCAAAGAATCCATGCTAAATGTATAGAGAACACATAGAGTAAACAAGACATTAGGATATTTAATTACTGCTTTATGTCCAAAATGAACCACTGTGGTTCTTTAAAACAGAGACGTCATGCAGACAGAAACCACACAACGCTCCTCTTTTAGCGTCTGTATCTCTGCCTGTGTCCCATGAGATGGGGCATGAAAGGACAGTCTATGAATGCAGTGATCGTGTTTCACAGTTTTTACACACCTGACACACACACACACACACACACACACACACACACACACACACACACACACACACACACACACACACACACACACACACACACACACACACACACACACACACACACACACTGTTGCGTTGACCTTTACAGAATACCTTCCCATACAAAGACCTCTGTCCTGCAGCAGAGAAACAGCTGAACTTCCTGCTTTAAACTGAGTTATTAGTGTCATCCCGAGCCAGAGTCATATTACATACATATTATTATTTCATATTACATGTTCATATCCAGCATCAAGGGTTGGCACACATAACAAATGCTGTAGGAAATGTTGGTCTCCCACCTTTTCTTCTCACCTTAGAAAACAGAGATATGTCAAATTAATTTGAAATTGTTGTTGGTAAGAAGAACTCCATCATTTTATTGCCCTGTTTAAGCATATCAAGTTCCTCTGTGCACTCTGCAACAGTTCAGTATTTATATATTATGCAAATGTGTTTCATAATGCAGAATGCATGGGGCCTTTTATTTATTAATATTTGATGGGCAGATGGATGTTTGAAACAGGAAACCAGCAGCTCTATGAGTTGAACACTCACAGATGAAGGAATGAAAGGAAGATGTTCGCATTCAAAAGTGTCTTTTAAATAACTGTTCTTCTCTTCTGGTGTTGCTGTTGCTCAGGTATGCAAAGAGGAAATGTAAAACTATGCTCATACACGTGGAGTCTCTGACTCAGGCTCATTTGGACTCTTGATGTTACATAACTGTAACATTTTCATTGTCATTAATTCTTTAATAATCTAAATATTACTTTGTTTTCAACTCTGTTCTGAACCCTTACGTGGTGTTCAGTAAAATTCAACCATTTTCAATTTTTACTGAAATAAAAATAATACAATAATTTTTAACCCAAAACTTGGTGGCCTTGGTGCTGGGAGAGTAACTACTCTGAGGCAGGAGCTATAGGTTAATCTGAATAGAGTTAAGGTAGCCTATAGTCTCACACACACACACACACACACACACACACACACACACACACACACACACACACACACACACACACAGGCTAGTGAAATAGACCACATTTCCATGGTGGCCAAGTAGCCATGACATCACGCTGAGGGTGGGGAGCGCAAATGTTGTTGTGTCTGACTGTTATGCTCCTGGTTTAAATCATGAGAACTTTGCAAATTAGAGCATACTGATGCCCAAGGTATCCTTTAGCAGCTGTATCTCACGAGGCCAAAACACCTTTTAAACATGTGATTAACTCTGTGAAATGGCATTAGGTTTGATTCAGATACAAATACTACTTGGTTTGGTTTAGGATAAGACTGCGTGACGCAAATAACCTTATGTGCCTTTCAACTTGAAACCGAAACAAACTGCGGTTGGCTCCACCTCCACCAAACTAAAAGCCTCTCCAGCCTCACACCTCCAACCCCCCTCCACTTGAGTTTGCACAAAGGAGTTTAAACAAAATTATCTTTGGTTCAAGCTGCAATTGCCACTTGTCTGCATTGTTGTGTTAGCAGGCTAATGTTAGCACACTTTAGTTAGCTCGTAGCTTATTGGACATAAACTGACAGGGAATGACCGGGATCCACAAACGCTAATTTGACATCCAAATAAGCAGTGAGTATACGTTCTTCTGTACCACAAACACAGGATTTTCCATATACTGTATGTATAACAACACAGCCAGCAGGACTCTTCTCCACTTCTCACTCATTGTGGACGGTCATGACATTAACAGAGGATATACTTGATTTCTGCTATACTGTGTAAAATGTTACACATTCTTCCTTTAATAATATTTGGTTTTATGGGACATGAACTTCAGTCTCCTGGGTGAAAGTCACCCAGCCACAATGGTGTTTCATTAAAGTCACTTCTAAAGCCCGGTGCGTCACTATCAGATGTGAATGTTTACCGTCTGTATGAGTCGCAGAGGGGTGATGACAAATGGTCGGTTTGTGATGAGTTGGGAATGAGTTGGGCCGGTTTGTGAAGCTGACCGTGATCACTGAACAGAACAGCACAGGAGTGTGAGGTAATTGAGACTGAAGGTTTGGAGAAGCAGAAACCTCTACGATTGAATATTGAAGCATTAAGTATTAACGCTTAAAAACTACTATTACTACTACTATTAGCAGTGGCGATTCTCGAGTCTGTTGCCCCCCTCATTCATCACCATTATGTCTGCAATTGTCCCGAAGCTCACTCCTTTTCCTCTTCCTGTTTCTATTATCTCTCTTATAGACGGGTAACTCCTCTACACTTTTCTTGGACTTTTTAGACAAACTTTTGTTTTCACAGCTATAATGCACGTAACACTTACCAAGGCAACGAGAGTGACTTCTGTCAAATGGGCCCCCCTTAGGGAGGTTTCCTACTGTCATTGCAAAATTTGCACATTTTGGGCAGCTGCTGTGGTTTAAGGTTATGTGAGCCCTCAGTTGCCTGCCTTACCTGTTGACAAGCAGCGCCTCTGACTATTACTTTGTACTTTTACTAAAGTATTTTTCTTACACCTCTTTTGCCAAATGGAGTATGAATAAAGTTTGTCCTTTCTTAATTATAAAGTTGAGAGTCTTATTTCACAACAAAGAGGAAATACTTATAATCGCAAGAAAACTAAGTTTGAAAACTAAGATTAAAAACGCCTCATTCTGCTGTTTAAACCATTTTGTATTTGGGGCGTAGCCAAACACATTTTGATTGGCATCTGTCTTTGTCCGCTAACGACTGCAAGAAACAACAAGCGTGGTTCAGCTCGAGGGTTGAGTCGGCTTATTCGTTACCATGACAGGGGAGGAAAAACAAGCTCTGCTCTCTGATAATATTTGTTTCACACACTCATTGAAGGGTGAGTCAAGAGGGTGTGTGCATCATAATTAGTTATTAGCACATGCAAAACAATTCAGGTTTTATTGTGGGGTTATTGCTTTTATTTTGTGCGTAATTAAACTATTAAGTTTCAACAGCCGATCGACCTACCTATTTGCGTAGGCCTTTTGCATGAGTAATTGCCTCACCTCACCTGTGACTGTAAAATGTAACGGTAGCTTACATCAGCCAACAACACCATCAGTCTGTAACAAAAGGGCTCGTTGGATCTAAGATCGTAAGGTAAGGTATACTAGGACTGATGTGAGAAAGGACTGTTTAACTGTAAGCAAACAAACACTGCAAGATAATCTTATCACAGAACAAGAAGAGAACAATTGTTGGTTTTCTTGAATACATGGGCTGAAAAGGTACCATCTTGAGGCTTTGCAAGGGAAATGTTGAACTAAGCTAAACAAAGAAGTTAATTATTACAGAGTTAGAAATAGGTGGGTCTAGCTTGAAGCTTTAAGTCATGGGTTACCTGGCACACCTCACAAACCAACTCTACTTCTGTCCACTGCCATACATGGGCTTATTACTACAATACTGTCAAATGGTAGTAAGGCAACTCGTAAAGTGTGCAAATGTTTGACAAAAATCATTTCCAGAAAGAATGTTAACAGAGGTCGGCTGTCCTTGAAAACTGAGCTAAAGGTGGAGTAGTGGGACAGTGAGAGGAGTGTGATAGGAGGGGTGAGTCTTCAGGGGACAAAGGTCGCCTGTCAGTCATTCAGCCCCTCACATGACTTTTGTGTGGACAGAGCTCAGTGCAAATAAATCAGTGGAAGGGGGAAACTCCATTTAATCTTACAATCAAAAATCAAAACAAACCAGACCGGTCTTGTTGGCTCTAAACCAACATTTTTATCAACACAAGTATATAAAAAAAACTTCTTCCTGATTGCATTTTCAGATCTCAACACTGAGCCAGTTTGTCGTTGACTGGACTTGAGAGTGTAACTAACCCGGAGCACACTGCCAGATGAAGTGTGCTGGTCATGGGCAGTGGTGACATACTGTAAAATGGTGCCAAAGAAGGAAACTTCTTTAAATGCATGCAAATTCATGAGTGGCCTACACACAAATAACTTTATCAGAATCTGCTGCAGTGTTGACTGCACAGTTATTGTGGTTTGGATTACCCATACTTGGGCGCTGGTATAGCCTAGTGATTAGTGGGCGCACCCCATGTACGAGGGTTATATTCCTCCAAGCAGTCAAGCCTGTGTTTAAAACTGACATGTGTCTATGACATTCCTTGCGGTCTCTCTCTCACCTCAACTTCTGACTCTATCCACTTTCCTATCTCTAAATAAAGGCATAAATAGCCCCAATTTAAAAAAAAAAAAAACTATTACCCAGACTCTATCCACACATAGTTTTTTCAACTCTTATGAGAGTTAAACATGACAGGCAGATTTTAGATTTTTGTTCAGTCTTTTAAAACAACCAAATGATGTGTAAAAACATTAGATTGTCTAGGGTTTAAAGTCCTGTAATGGTGATATTTCACATTATTTTACGGTCAATAAAGACTTAAAAAGACAAAGACAGCATTGTGTGTATGCAAAAAAGGTTGATACATCCAATTCCTCTGCACAAAATCTCAAAACTTGCCTTTAAACTTTATATATTGCAAACATATTAATGAGCCACACAGGTGCACTGAGCGATATGTGGCTTTAAGATGAACATGGATTCAACATTTTTGATCCTGCATACATTCAGTTGTTGTTAATATGCATATTAATCCACATTAACTACACCCAAGCAAGCAAACATTATTTTTGGGTAAGAATTGCTAAAAGCTAAACAGTGCTTTAAGAAAGTTATTTAGCCTTTAAACAGAACTTTAAATTTTGTATGTGTGAACATTTTAAAGTAAGACTTATGTGAGGAGCCGTGGATGAGGGTGAGAGAGTCAGACAGTAGCCTCATGGTGGACGGAGGTTGTTGACTAAGAAAACTAAAGAATTATTAAGAATCACTTGAATAACTTATAATTTCAGTCAGAAAAAGAAGAGAATTAAACAAAACAGAAGAGTTTACATACTATTTCCACCATCATGAGGATGGATGGGATGCTTTGGATGAAGGTCATGTCCATCCTTACGGTGACGTTAGAGGCCAGTCCTCGGAGGCTGTTGCCCCCCTGCTGAGAGGTCTGGGCATTGGAAGAGCCGGTCTCTGTGTTAACCTTGGATGGGAATTCTGCCATGACTACGCAGCTTACACTAAATGATGGTATTCAGTCAACTGGTTAAACAGCTGAAAAGTCCCTCCAACAGTTTTTATATTCCTCAAAATATTCCTCAGTGTTGAGATTTAAACACCATTGACTACGTCCACTGGTGGTGTAAAAATAAAAGGTAAACTAGTACAAAGTACAAAACACAAAAAAATAATTTAAAACAAATGTAAAAGGTCCAGAAAGTAAAAAAAAAAACGAAAAACAGTTAAAGAGGAGTCCTCCAGGGAAACCTGCAAGTTCAGATATCCAATGTTCACTGTCTCCACCTGTACAGTCAGGCGACAGGTGTCTAATGTGTTTGTGTGTCTCTTCACCTTCTCTCCCTCCCTCTCTCTCTCTCTTTCTCTCTCTCACACACACACACACACACACACACACACACACACACACACACACACACACACACACACTCGTCATCACCTCCCTAGTGACTCTGGTCTCTCCCTCTTTTTACCATCTCTATTTCTCCAAAGCATCTCCGTAGACGCCTCTCACCTGAGTGACTTATTAACATGTTTTAATCCAGGGAGGAGGTGGAGGGAGAACAAATAGGCTGACCCAGTGACGTCCTGCTGGTATGTGTGTGTATCCATGTTAATGAATGTGTGTATATGCACTGAGCTTCAGCAAAAACACATACTAGACTGATATGAAGCTGTGAAACATTAACTAAAGCTGGACTAAATGAGGGAGGATTGTGGGTGTTTATAAACTCAGCAGAAACCTGTTTAAACCCTGTGTAAACTGAGCAGTAAATGCCTCTTGGCTGTTTTCTGTGGCTGGAAACTTTTCATTTTTAATCTAATTTTAAGAATTCAATGTCCAAAATATCTAGAAGAAAAGGGTAAAATTGATCAATTCAAGCAACTACCATTAACCACAACGCTTCAAACATGAAAAATAAGTCATAAATATTGTCACTAAACATATGCCAATAGCCTGCAGTGGTCAAAATATTAACATCAAAACAAAACAGGCCTATAGATTCAACCCATGAGGTAAATGTCAAGCAACTGAGAATTAACAAAAATACCGCATACGGAAATAAGCATTTCATCGGCACGAAAAAATATATTGTCAGAAGTGGGATTCGAACCCACGCCTCCAGGGGAGACTGCGACCTGAACGCAGCGCCTTAGACCGCTCGGCCATCCTGACATAGAAATCATGAGGAGCAGATTATACAAAATGAATCTAATATACACTATTTGTTTTGTTTTTCACATCGTTGCATGTCAATCCCGCTTTATTGGGGTCAAACTGAACGCATTGTTTGGTAAGGAACACAAATAACAGGTTAAACTATACACGACTCTCCTGCTCCCTCTGCTGGTGTTTTGGTAGCATCAAACATCAAACCTGATATAGCCTTGTTCCGAAGCCATAAACGCCTTCTTACATTATTATTATTTTTAGCTAAAGTTATATACCTTTTTTTCTATCTAAGTTTATGTTGTTAAAAGAGACCTGTAGAAATGACTAAAAAAAAGTCCCTGCCCGGAACCGAACCACGACGTTTGGGTTGTGTTGAGACTCTCGAAGATCTTTTGCGCCATCTACTGGTGGTTAAAACAAAAATGACTGCGTAGAGCTGAAATCAGATGAGGAGATAATACACTCTTGGCTTTATGAGCAATGAAATATAGAGAGGCCTATGGCTTCATTAGGTAAGACTTAATAGTCTATATTGTTATCTCTGTTATATTTGTTTGGATATAAACATAGTTTCTTTGTGCAATACCAGTTCTCAGGAGTTTTGCAGAGACTCTATAGCCTACATGTTGACCCTATCTACACTTATAACTGATAAAACTGAATGTAGGCCCAAAGTTTCCCCTTGGAAATATCCTATTTTTTATGTCATAAAGACAATGCAAAGACCAAATATGAAGTCATTATTTTTCTGTTTTCTCTGACTGTTTTTTTTTAAATAAATTTGAGCAAAAGCCTTACTACAGCATTTACAGTCTGTGGTTTAGACTCTAGACTTAAATAATGAGAACTAAGAAGATCAACTCTGGTTCTAGTTATTGTGAAACTGGACATTTTGCGTTATTCCCAGTGAGGTGCTGTTCCTGAATGTAATTCTTCCTGCAGGTTCCCATTAAGTATGAGGCTACTTACATCATCAGGAAACAGGAAAGTGTTGAAACTGAAAACTTGATTTGTAAACCAAATTTGAAACCAAAGTCTGTGCCAAGAAAAGCAAGCAAACAATTTAAAGTTATTTAATTTTTTTGAAAGCCCTATTACAGCTATGTTTGGTTAACGCTCCATGAGGATTGTAGCTTATTATTGAGTGAAATTACATGTTTTTACCAGGTTAACTGATTTGAATAAGAAGCGGACATACACCAATCAGCCATATAATTGAGACCACCTGCCTAATATAAGAGGCCCAGCTCATCAGGTCCATGCCAAATAGCAGCTGTCCTGACGAGACATGGACTCCATAAGACCTCTGAAAATTTTATGTGGTATCTATCTAGCTGTTAGAAGCAGACCCTTAAGTCCTGTAAGTTGCAAGGTTTAATTCAATTGATGATGTTGGTTTCTTTAACTGATAGTGTAAAACCTTCCTTTAAAAAAAAACCTACCAATATTTGCAAAATAAATATAGAAATGATATCAAGGGTTAGAAATGAGGTTGGAATAATGAGGAATATGCTCCATGATTCTTTTAGCCTATAAGATGTTTCCTCTTGGCTGCCATATCATAAACTCAGCAGGTAAAGTCTGGGTATATACGGGGAAAATGTGGTGTTAAAGGTAATCCATTATTGAAATATTAAGTTATTCAATGTGATGAGATAAATGAATCACTCTCCTCATAATGTCCTCACTTTGAAAGTAAGAGAGTATAGCCATGCTGAGTAATTATGTGTAAATGTTTAAAACACGAATGCTAATGTCCTGATGTTCAACATTTAGTTATTCATTTTATTAAGAAAACCTTTTTGATATTAAAAATCTCATTTTTAAAAGTGTCCTGGTCAAGACAGGCAGTAACACAGATAACAAAGTGTCAGACCAACAATGAGCAGCCATTCAAACATAATACAAGAGACATGATTAGAATATATTTAAAGACACAATAACAAATGAAAATGGAAAAAGTATGTCCACAACCATAAATATATCAGACGGGACATCAGCAGCCAGATCTTCCTGCCTCCATGTAACTTCCTCTGAAATGCATCCAATGAGACCAACTCGTTAAGTTTCAGGTCTTTTTGTGATTCGTTCCAAGGAAACATATAAACACCCCTTTTCTCCAGTTCAGTTCTGACCTTTGCAACAGACAGTGAAATAAGACCCTGGGATCAAATTGTAAGTTCCTGTAGCATACTCTTCTGACTTACATGAGAGCAGTGTCAATGTTGGATCAATTGAAACTCTATTAATCAAATCTTTAAAAAGCTTTAATCAAAAAGAAGGCAAAATTACCGGTAATGTAGTTTTTTATTTTTTGAGAGAATAATGTAGATAAAAACATAAAATGCAGTGCTGGTTGTTTTAATGTTGTAAAGATTTCAGGACAAACCGGAGCATCCCGGAGTAAACCCTGTGGACATGTCGGGGGATGAGGTGGAGAGAAGGGGTGAAAGGTGAGGTCTTACAGATGATGGCCCTGAGGTGTTTTAATTCAGGACAGCCGTTTGAGGAGTTCTCCTGCTCAGCTTTCTCTTTTGCAAAAAACATCTCTTTAAACTCTCGGCACTTCTTCTCGAGCGCAGTATTTTGCTGACTAAAGGTTTTGTTCTCATTTCTTGTCGTCTCATATTCCTCTTCCAGTTGTTTGCTGTCCTTCAGTTTACTCTGCATTTCTGTAATTTCTTGATGCAAAGCAGTATTATTATTCTTAAGGAGTTCCTTTTCTTTCCAAGCAGCCCTGCATTTTTCCTCCAAGTTGTTTTGAGCCTGGAGTTGACGGCTCAGGCTCTTTACTCTGCTTTCGAGGAACTTGTTCAAATTGAGGGCTGCTTTTCTATCGGCTTTGAGTATACTATAATATACTCTATATTAAAACTGATTTAATAATTTTAACTCAACTTGATTGTAATTAATTATAATATATTAGTATCAAATAAACCCACAACTAATATATGAAACTGAATAATTACAGACGAACCTGCAGTGTATATGATGACCCTTCCTCATCAACATGATTTATTTATATTCCTTTGTGAACTGGATGACATTCCTTCTTTGCTTCAGATCTTCACTCAGTTCGTTCCACAGTTTCACACCACATCTTGACAAACTCAAACTTTTCAGTGTCGGGCAGAGACTAAATTTGAATGCCCCCTTAACTTGAATCCCTTTTCTCTTTCACATGGGAGTGACTGAAGATTGCAGCTCGTCTGTGAACTCAGTGCAGCCTGCCTGAACTCCCAGGTGTCCCTCCATTAACCAGAAGCCTAGCAGTTCACACTTTGACTGTCTGTTAGCCAGCACCAAAAGTTTATTTCCATTCATCCATCCATCCATAATCTTCACCGCTTTTCCCGTTTGAAACACTGGGGCTGGAGCCGATCCCAGATGTCATTGGGTGAGAGGTGGGGTACACCCTGGACTATTCACCAGTCAATCTGAAGTATAGAGACAGACAACCAGCCACACTCACATTCACACCTATACGGGCAATTTAGAGTCACCAATTACGAGCATGTCTTTGGACTGTGGGAGGAAGCCGGAGTATCTGGAGAGAACCCACGCCTGCACGGGGAGAACATGCAAACTCCACACAGAGAGGCTCCTGTCAGATGGGAATTCAAACCAGGAACCTCCTCGTTGTGAGGCAACAGAACTGATCACTGTTCCACCAAAAGTTTCTATTTCATCATGTTGTCAATACCTTGTTCAGTTTACTTGAGCTAAAAACTTGTGAAGAGATGCTGGATCCTCCAGCTCTGTCCGCTGCACTGCTGAATTATGAGAGCATAAAAAAGGTTTTCTCCCTGAGCGACCTCAAGACATCTCTGGGTCACTTTGTTTCTGATGGCTTCACCCTGCAAATGTTTCATCAAGAGAGAGCAGCTTTCAGATGGATACAGAAGAGGGTCTATAACACTTGAGCCTGTGTATGGGTTTAACTTTCATTTTCTTCTTTTTTTAACTTATAAGCACTTGTACCTGCAAAGATGCAGCAAAAAAAAACCAAAACTTAAATAACAACTTAATTGGTGCCAGCTGACATCTTACCTGTTTGAAGTCCCAATGCATGTGAAGCTGGTTTTGTTTGGCCACCTGGCAGTCCTGCAGGGTGGGATAGCTTCCTGAGCCTGGATCCACCAGGCAACGGTTGTTGTTATATTTGTGAGATTTCAGTCCACCGATGATGATTTCACTTTCTGTGTTGTAGTAACAGAACTGGTGAGAATCAAAAGTTAGAATTCAATCATCTGATTTACTGTTATCATAATTTGAAGGCTCACTTATTCTGCTCATCTTCATGAGTTACCTGTGGCTGTATGAAGTTGCATTCAAACAGGATGGGGATGTTTCCTGGAACAGCTCCCTGGTCCACACAATACTTCTTAAGAAGGTTGTTCTGCAGCTGAACAGATCAGGACGGTGTTAAGACAGGGATTGAATGATGCACCTGATCTTTATTGAGGACTCAGGACGTTGTTGTCACAGCTCTGGCTGTGATCCTGTTTCTGTGTATCCTTTGTGTCCCCTCCTCCTCTGTCTGTCTGTGTGTGTGTGTCCCTAGAGGGCGGGGCTTCAATCAACACCGGGTGACTACTCACACCTGCAACTCATCTGCTCATTGCCTCAAGCTAAAACCCTTGGGTTCAGCTCGACTCATTGCCAGATTATTGAGTCTACTGAAGTGGTAGCTATGATCGGCTGCTCTTGACATTTTGTTAGAGTTTGTTCCTAGTGTTTTACAAGTGGATCCTAACAGATTTTCTCTCCTGTTGTCCAGATTCTCACTGGTGTCATCTCCTCCAGTCTGCTCTCCTCTCAGACAACTCAACCAATCACCTGCCTGCCAACAGAACCAGCTAACTCCATAAGTCTCCTCCACGCTCCATGCCGTCACTACCAGCCAGCCAGTCAGCCATCCACCTTTCGCAAACCCTGCAATAAAACCTCAAACCCTTCAACTTTGCTGCTGTGTCTGCTTTTGGGTCAAGATACAAACTGTAACACGTTGTATTGCTATATGTATTATACTCATGAAACATAGAACTCATTTATTATTGTAGGTCTTTGAAACTTGATTCCTGAAATACTGCACAAATAAGTCAGGTTCACTTATCTAACACTTTAAAATACATACATATTCAAAGTTTTTTTTATTTATTCAAGTATTGCATCAGCAAATTAGTGATGTGAAAATGGCCCTTACCATACCATACCCTAAGATGTTATCCCATTTTTCCAGACTTGGATAAACATTGTCCCGGTACCACTGGAAGGGTTTACATTTCATCTTCTTGTTGAGCTCCTTCCTCTCCGACACGTCTCCGATGTCAATGCCATGATTCTGCGTGTCATAAACCAGAAGGTGGAATGAACAGTACAACATTTGAGTTAATACGTTTGGTAATGCTCGCTCTCTAATGGCAGCTTTTCATGTTAAACTTGCTGATGTTTCATTTGCTGATTTGCCACACATCGGATTGAGAGGAGTGAACTGCAGGGCTGAATATAAATATCAATAGTGTATTTGTGGGTTGTTATTTGTACATTTTATTTAAGTGTGCTGTTTAATCATGTTTCTGCTGTCTGGCTTTTGCATCTGAACAAATCTTTCAATTACTTTATTTAGCTGTATTTATTTTTGCCACAAAAAAACATTCAAAAAAACGATTAGGTGGGGCCCCAGATAGGCTAGCCGATTTGTAGTGCTCCACATGTACAGAGGCTTAAGTCTTCATCACAGAGGCCGTGCGTTGGAATCCAACCACGGCCCTTTGCTGCATTACGTCCCCCACTCTGTGCACCTGACGCTCTTCAGCTGTCCTATCCAAGGGAGGCAAAAAGGCCCAAAAGAAAATTAAATTCATTCAGGAAATAAATCATTATGCCAACCTTGAGAGGAAGGTTCCAGGCAATGACCACATTCTTCTTGTAATCATCCATCCAGATTTCTGCAGCCCTTAAGGCATTTCTCCTCATTGCGGAGTCCAGATCAGGTGCGTACGGTTTATATGCCCTCTCAACGTGAGCGACCCTGGAGCAAGGCACGACCTCGACACTTCCTCCACACAGCCACACCTGTGCAGTCAAAGCAGAGGTCAGGGGATTGTTAGTGAAGAAGCAGATCTTTAACCTTTTACATCCTCAAAATGTGTTTTTAACAACTACTCACACGAATCCCAAGTTCAACATTTTCTCCCCCGTAAACTGTCATCCCTCCATCAAGCCCGCCAATTTCTCCAAGGAAGACTCTGTCTGCGGCAAAAATGCCCATAACAGAGGGGCTCCTGAGAAAGAAGGTTTTAGTTTGGGATAAGATCAGGTGACGGTCTTTTTTTAAATATTATGAAGCAACTAAATGATTTAGTGCCATGAAACTACCAAAATACAATAAAATCAAGATTAAGATAAATCTCAATAGTAAAGTTAAACCAAATTGATGAACATAACATCACTGCAAAAACTCAAATCTTAACAACTATATTTGTCTAATTTTCAGAACAAAACAATGCTTTCTTCCTCCCTCACAAATCTAAAATACCTTTTGTCAAAGTTTATTTTTTTAGGACCAAATTCTTATGAGAATATATTCGACATACTTCCCAGGCTGAGATTCGTCGTCCATTTTATACCACTCTTTGCCAAAGCTCTCATACATGCACCACAAAGCCCAGTCAAAGCCATGAGACGCTGGGATGTATCTTTCCACATGAAGGTCATCAAAATGGACCTTGTCAAACACAGGGGACACCACCACTGTCCTGTCCGCTTTGATCCTGGCCAGCAAAGGTTCTGCCCTGGAGAGGACGCCAGAGAGTAAACAAGAGTTATAACCTTCGGGGGACGTGCTGAAATTAATCTGTTAGAGAATTGTTTTAGTATTTAACCCATGTAAGAAGTACACAACATTTTCAGTAGCAGTAACCAGGGAATATAATGAGGAAAGAGCTACTTGTAAACCATTAGTTAACAGCTAGATCATGAGTGTGATAGTCTGTGAATAATGAGCTCACCAGTACTTGACAGTCACTATTAATATTTTTTTTTACTTGCCCACTTTCTAGTCTTGTTTGTCCTTAAATAAAGTGATGCATCATACTCGTACTACTTATTTGCAACCTATTTGGTGCAACTTCTCCAGACGACTTAAAAAAAAACAAACATCCATGCATTTTTTTCTTCCTGACTCGACTATTCTAATGCAATAAGTTCAGGCATCGAAAGGCTTACAGGAGCAAAGGTAAATGGACTTGAGCTTATATAGTGCTTTTCTAGTCTTCTGACTACTCAAAGTGCTTTTACACCACATGTCACACCTACACATTCACACACTGATGGTAGAGGTTGTTATGTAGTATCATCCATCAGAAGTAACTAATCCCATTCATACACCACCACCGAAGCAGTGGGAACAATTTGGGCACATTGGACATGTTGCCCAGCTGGGGATCAAACCCTCAACTTTCCAGTTGAGAGGTGACAACTCTACCAACTGAGCCACAGCCGCCCCCATTATAAAGTCATTGTATTATTTGACCCATACCATCCCTCTGCGACTTCAATATGGGCATCCAAGATAGCAACAACATCCCCTGAAGCGTGCTCACAACCCGTGAGCCTGGACTGGGACAGGCCCATTTGACGGTTATGTCGGACTTTCTTAATGAGGCCAGGCTGCTCCTTGTGAATCTCGCTATGTAGTTTTCTAATCGTTCTCCAAGGTCATCTGAAAGAATAGATCACAGTCAAATCTGTAAATTAAGGTCTACAGATGACTTCTTAGATAACATTTACAAACATCTACAAATGCAAAGCAGCAGAGTGATTAACTGAACACAAGTGATCGGTGCTGATCAAAATTATTCTGACATTTTAAATCATGCTTAATTAAAAGTTCTTTATCATACTTACTGTAAGTGCTGTAGTCATCCACCAGGATGATTTCCTTCAGCAGGTGATTTGGAGTGCGGTTGATAATACTTCTTATAGCTCTTTGAATGACAGAGAGAGCCTCGTTTACGTAGATCAGCACCACGCTGACATTCGGCAGGTTCTTCGGGTATTTCTTTGTCCAACATCTAAAATGGTGTGAAACGTTTAAAAAAGAATCACTCTTCTACGGTGATGGACAAGCACAAACACGCTGCAACGGTCCAAAAGTTTTGCATTTGAAGAGATGGGGTGCAAATTCAGAAGTTATGCAAATTCAAAAACACATAAATTACAGGTTTGAAGATGCTCTGAGAGCTTTCTTTCCTCTGTTTTGCACATGTTCTAGTCTTTAGCCTCTTTTGAAGCAAGCTTTAAACAATTGCTTGAAAACAGCCTCCATACATGCGCACGCACCAACCACCGCGCCACCAGCGCCCCCTACACCATACTTTTAATCAATACACCCCAGAAGTTTTCTGTTTGAGAGTTGTCTGTGGTCGACACCTGCAAACACACTGGAACTATCCAAAAGATGTGAGTGAGGAGAAATGGGCTGCACATTCATAAACATTGCCAAATTAAAAGCATGATCATTAGTCCAACACTTAGGCAATCATGCTGCAACTGAAACAAATCCAGATAACACATGCAACAGCAAAACGCTGCATATCCCGTCATCACAATGGAAAAGCTGACGGCCTGCAGAGATTCTACTTGGAACTGTATTTTAAACATAAATTACTGAGAAAATAATGGATCACAGGGGACGTAGTATTGAGGTGATTAATTTGCTAGGTTTGGCTCCAGAGATCCAAGGGATCTTGAACTCCCACTCAAGGAGAACATCTATTCTAATTCTACCGTCACTGTAATCCCAGGTACGCCCACCTTTGCCCTGATCGGGAAAACATGGAACTCCCTTCCGTCTAAACAGAACGTCTAGTTAGAGGAGTAAACACACCACTATTTGGGTTACCTGAGTTCCCACACAGGCAGAAACAGTTTTTAGTTTTGCTAGTTGTGCAGCTAACTGAGTAACAGCATCCACACTGAGCATGGGTGTTTAATTTCCATCAGAAAACAGTTCTCCATAAAATATGAGCTGGTTTTAACAAAGTCAGGAACATAAGTTGTGTATCTTTTTGTGCATGTTGTGTTTTTGCACAGCAGTCAGAGAAATTCTGCTCTGGTGGTGTTTCTGACCTTAATGTCTGATAATCAATAACCACTTAGTGATCCCATCAGGCCCTGAGTTCTTGTGTGGTCATGCAGTTTTACTGTTGCACACACTGTTTGCTTATTTGCAGTGTTTGCTGGTAATGCATTTGTTTGGGCTTTTTTTTTGCTGCAGGTTTTAAAAATTTGCAGCCCGATTCTAACGATACACTTGTTTTGGATGGAGGTGGCACTTTGCATGTGCAACATTTCTTAATATGCAACTTGTTTCTCTTGAAGAATATATTTTTTACAGTTTGGTGAGTTTGCAGCCATCGTACAATTCTTAAGCAGCGAACAACCAGGGTTGTATAAAGTGGTTAAAAGTAGGAATCTTGAGCAAATTGTAATGTTTGTTTAAAGAGGGTTTTAAAGAGACCTAAAATGTGCCAAAAAGCAAATGAAGCCACGAAGAGCATTTTTTAACCCATGTGAAAAAACTTACCTGCTATCCCTTGTCTCTGGAAGCTTCCTGTCGAGTGGCAGCTGATTACTCAGGAAGACGTTGTATCCATAGAGATGAAACAGAGCTTCAGCCTCTTTCTGCTCCTGCTCTGACAGGCCGTCACCCCACTTTTCAAACAGGATGGAGTCAGGATATAACTTCGGAATCACAATCTTCTGTTTTTCTTGGCCCACACTTTTAACAAGTTCTTTGGTGGAGCTCTTTTTATCAGATTCTTCTATCAGCTTTGCTTTGGTGGCAATGTTCATAAAAAGAGAGAGAAATGAAATGATTTAATGGATGTATGGATGAATGGATGTGCTCGCTCTCTCTATCCATGACAGATTATAAATGTTGTTCGCTTTATGTTTTTCTATTTAAATCACTGAATTGTTTCATTCTACAAATGCTGGACTCAATACACCAAATATTTAGGACATCGATATCGGCTCGATATGCCAGATATCCAACTAACAAAATAACTCAACAAACGTATTTGACAGTTTGACCAGGCAGTTTGTGGAAATTAAAATAGATTACTCAGAGATACTTTTAGTGTACCTCCTTTCACTAAAGGTGCATAAATTGTAGCTGCGCTGAACTTGTTTGCCAACAACATGACAGAATATGTCAGCTATAGTATTGTTAGAAGTATGTAGAGTTGGAGGAAAACTGTGATTACACAGAGTTCTGGTTCAAAGGAAACATTTTTTAAAGCTGAATTAATGAAATAAAGCACTGCAGCGATGTCCGGTTTAATCCCTTTATCGGTTAAATGAGGACAGTCAATCTGACAGTTGTAAATGGACTTTTCTAGAGTCTTTTCTAGTCTTCAGTCTACTCAAAGCGCTTTTACTCCGCATGTCACACCTACCCTTTCATATCCATTCACACACTGATGGTTGCTATGTTGTGAGACCATCAGAAGTAACTAATCCCATTCATACGTCGCAGACGAAGCAGCAAGAGCAATTCAGGGTTAAAGAGGTCATATTATGCCCTTTTTGGGGTTCATATATTTAATCTACGACCTTCCGGTTGAGAGACGGCGACTCTACCAACTAAGCCACAGCCGCCCCTTGTTGTTAAATGTTCTTTGAGATAAAAATGTTCCTTGTGAATGTATCATTTATTTAAATTTTCCAGCTTTGTATACAGTATGTATGCAACTGAACTTACAATGTGGAGCTCATTTATTTCAACTTGGATATTTTAGGACAAAAGAGGTCCGACACCTGTATCTATTTCGCTAGGATGTGCGCACACTCTTTTAGCCAAGTGACTCTTGCTTGTAGACGTAGCCCCAAACTGCAGGGGCCCCATAAAATGCCCTAAAAAATTCAAGTTTAATAATTGTTAATCTTTTATTATTTAACTTTGTGGTAAGTTATTATGTTTTCTGAAAAAAACACTTAAGCAAAAAATATAATCATAAGAAAGGCTAATTCATCTATAACTCATGTCTCGGGGCCCCCTCCCCCCTCCGGCTGCACTACATGAGCTATTCCATGATGCACAGCGTGTTTAAGGAAATGATTGACACGACATCAAAGGTGACAGAGAGAAAAGAGACGAGAGCGAGAGAGGAAGATAGTGACTTAAAAACAACAGTATACATTCAGTACCCACTGAAAAAGGCTCCCCGACCCACTTTTGGGTCCTGACCCATCAGTTGAGAACCACTACATCAGTCCAACAAATGCAGGAGGGCCACCAAATGACTGAATGTGAGTGTTCAGTACTTTCTGTTTAAGGTTCAATCAATCAAATTCATGTTGAAAACATCACTGAGTCAGAACTTTGAAGAACACCCTCGACTCTTACTGAGGTTACTTCTGAACATGTACTCACCCAGCTTCTTCAGGGTGCGTTCAACCCTGTCCAGTTTCCTCTCCAAAACGTCATGACGGCTGGAGTCCGCTTCTGGAGAGGAGCTGCCTGATTTCAAACTTGAAGTGGTGAAGATGATGATGTATACAACAATTAGAAGGGATCCAACAATTCCACCTTTTAGCAAATACGTCTTCATCGTGAATCACTTCACTGTCATTCTGTCTTTTATGGCGACAACTTTACCTTTCCACACTTTACAACTCAAGCTGCATGAGAGGGCGTCGTCTTATCTGAAAGATAACACTTTCTACGTCTACCTAATGCTGCTTTAGTAATTATTTCAGTTTTCATCTGCTTAATGCCTGAGCACAGTTCAATGAGGCTTAAATAGAACCAGCATCAATACCTCTTTTTTCTTTAAATTGCACTACATTACTGAGATATAACCAGTTACTGTACCTCACTGACTTAAGGGTAAAGAGGTGGACTACACAGACACCAGGTTTCAAAGTACACATCTGTATTTGCAGTGCCTCCAAACCACCCTTTGAGCATGTTTTATTGTTTTATGACCTTTGATATTATTAGCCCATTTATCTTCAATGGCAGGTATTTTTAAAAAGTATCTGTACCATTACTGCCACTGCCCTTGGACACGTTTAATGCAGGTTAAAGTCAAGACTCTTACCTCTGTTTATCTACACATAGTCATAGTTATTTACTTCTTACTTCAATCGTAAAAGGGCTTTATGTTTATCAGCTGCAGTTTTCTGTTGGGAATACCCGAGGAGCTTTTCACAACTGGAAACCGAGTTTTGCTCATTTTTCCATGCAACACTTATCCATGCTCTTTCAGCCTTTTGTTTTATTTCTACATCTTTTTTTTAAGTTTGGAATAGTTTTAATGGAGAATAAATATTCCCAAGCAGCAGCATGACACACCAACTCCACACTTCTTGATGGGTTTCTTTTTCCTACTTAAAACTCTGATTTAAAACTTTAACTTTAAGAAAGTGACAATGCACGCGGTAAAGGAAGTGTGAAGGTAACATTTTATCTAAAGGAGTGCAGCGTGAGTCCACGCAGGGAAAATGTTTCATACTCCTCCATTCATGTCACTCCCTCCCTCTGTCTCTCGCTCAGGTGTTGAGCAGGAGCGTTTCGTCTTTAAGAACTTAAAGGTTTTATGTGTGATTTTTTGATCCAGCAGATGTCGCCCTTGAGCACCAGCATGAAACCAAAACAACTTGCGCTGCATTGTTGTGTTAGCATGCTAATGCTAGCGATCTTTATTATGCTCGTATCTTCACACTGCATGTAAATTTACCTGAAATGAGCGTGATCTAGAAACACAGTTAAGCAGTGAGTACAGTATGTTATTCTTCTTTTCTCTAGTCCCTCAATTAAACAACTTTTATACACGAGGGGAGGAGTCAGCCGGCCGTCCCGCCGATGTAAACAAAGTGAAGATAGGACTCTGAAAACTCTGAAAGCATCACAGACAGTGGGACTCGGGTGTTACACCCATTGTAGACAGTCATGACTCACAGAGTTATTTTCAGAGGATATACTTGATTTATATTATATTTAAGAGTGAAAAATCACATATTAAACATTTACCCAACCAGATTCTGCCACGACCGACCTCTATCGACTAATCATCCTGCTACTGACATAAAAATCTGTTCTCCTTTCGCTGTCAGTTTGATCGCTGTGAACCTCCATTCCATCTCTGCAATGCTGTGGTCCAGCTCCTCAGAAACCCACTCCTCATTGCATCCTGCATACTTCCATCACACCCACCACTAGTGTCTAGACTACATCAGGGGGGTCCCCTATCCTGCAGTGAAGACATATTGATGGAGTCTAATCGACAAAGACATTTCTTTTTTATTGTTTTTTAATTGTTCTCTCATAATTAGGTCTCTCATAAAAAGAAAACTCTTAGAGGATATTTTTTTCATTTATTTACAGAATATAGTTTAAGAGGAGTTGGACATACTGACATCCTCTGGCTGCCAATGTGATTTTGGGAGGTTGTTACAGGGTTTAATAACTGACGGTCTTGGCTGGCTTTGTCTCGTCCAGGTCAGCCTCCAGGTAACGGAATCTGCGGTGGCGGCGCAGAATCTCAATGGCTCTTTGTTCTACAGTGGTGGGAGTGATGCCAAGATCCTCCAGACCAGGAAGTCCAGGGTACTTCATGTCTGTAAGGTGAAACTGGAAAACAAAAACACAATACAGAACAATGATCTACTGGTATTTTGGGAAAAAGGTTAGATCACGTGATCGTGTTTTTTATTGTTGTACTAAAGTCTTGTTTTTATTACCCTTTCGATTTTGTCGGGGGTCGTCCACGGCTCAAACGGGTTCATTGCGAAAAATTGAGCGGCAATGCTGGGGAAGAAAAACCAGATCACATTAATTCATAAATTATTGTAATGGACCAATTTTGTATTTTATTTTTTGGATCAATGCTGATGTTGATCACTCTCTGTCCTTATTTGTGTCAGGTTCAAGTACCGTATTTTCCGCACTATAAGGCGCACCGGATTATAAGGCGCATAGAATAGAACGTGTTTACAACTGAACAAGGCTGGGAGATATTGTGAATATATAAATACGTATAAAACGTAACGTATAAAACTACAAAAAAAAAAGTGCATAAGACGATTTCCCAAATAATAAATTATTTCTTTGACGTTTCTCTTAACTCTCAAAACGTAGTTTTATACGTAATGCATTCACAATAACTCAACGTTGTTCAAATGTTAATGTGCATATTCACAATATCTCCCAGCCTTGTTCAGTTGTAAACACGTAAAAGAAACACAGTCTGATACCGCTAATTCAAACGTTAGTGCAGGGGTGCCCAAACAGTCGATCGCGATCGACAGGTAGATCGCTGACTGATTCTCAGTTGATCGCGAGATGTTTTGTCAATATAAAATACAATTGTAAAATAGAAAAGTGATTTCAATTTCATCTCATTGCACTGTTTCCCACACACGATACCTGTGTTGGGAGCCCAAGTATACTTCCGACCTGTGTGCATTTAATTTTTCATTTATTCATGAAATTGCTGCGTGCATGAGAGAGCGAGCGGCGGAGATAGAGAGAGAGAGAGAGAGAGAGAGCGAGAGAGAGCGCGCAAGAGAGAGAGTGCAGGCATGCGCAATGACGTGCAGGTAAAACCGGGGGGGTAAATGTTTTACCAAAAAGTCATATATAGAAACTATGCTACGAGTATTAAGCGCATTTGATGAAGCTGCAGCTACTTTTCTCTGCTCCTCTCTGCTGTCATGACTGTGAGCATAGCGGGGGACGAGACACACCAACATACAGCGCAAACGCACACACACACACACACACACACACTTGCACTGGAGCGCCAGCCACCACGCAAACCTTTTTACTTTTTACTTTTGGTGCTACAGCACACAGTTGATCCGTGATCCGTACGGACCGAGGTGGGAACACACGTGTACAACCAGTATGGATCAACCAATTAACCAATTGATCCATATATAAGGCGCTCCGGATTATAAGGCGCAACGTCGTTTTTTGAGAAAATTAAAGTGCGCCTTATAGTGCGGAAAATACGGTACATCCCTGAATTCTGTGTTTTATATGTTCCATCAGCACATAAACAACAAACATGAGGTGACAAGATAAACATTTCTGCAGAACATGAAAAAGTATCAACTAAGCAGACCCTGCGTGTTTCTCTTAAAGGAACAATCCATAAAATGTCTAATGGATTAAATCAGAAAATGACCTACTATATCATCAGACATAAGGAAACATGCTGGCTTCTCTGACAACAATGCAGCAGCCATTATGTCCTCCTTCTAAGTTTAGATTCTGGTCTGGATTTGTTTTGACCAGAGAAGGTAGGTGGTTTAAGGCACCCTCACAAGGCCGATTTGGAGGAGAAGGGACGGGGGGAGACAGCTCTCTCCAATATTTGAAATGTGGACTGCAGTACCCATTTCAAACACTAGTTGTCAGAGTTAGCTATTGCTCCTTTAGCCATTTTTGTAGTTCAGAGCTTGAGAGAGTGATCAATTCAAGTCAGTTTAACTAAAAGCTGTAACTAAAATAACAAACATGTAAATGCACTTACTGATAGAGTGGGCGGGGCAGGGGGTAGGGCAGAAAAGACCTGTGTGCCACAGCATAGATGTACTCTACCAGGTCATAGAGGAGGTAACGGTTGGGACTAGAAAACAAGAGGAAAAGTTAGAACTTACCATAATGAATGCATCTAATGGAAAATACAAGTTTTATTCAATTGACATTTTATCACAGATAAACATACAGTGCCCATTAACCTAAGACATAACAGTAGTTATTCATGTAACTTAGAGAGTAAAGGACCCTGATGCCTGATTCTACTGCATTTTTGTAAATACAGTCATTTAAATAAAAGTTAAATTTAAATTTACTTTTAGTGTGGATGGTTTTCTAACTGATAAACCTGTAAAAGCAAAACTATTTAAATCACATCATCTTTATCCTGAGGGTCATCCCGACCTCGACAATATTTGCTCTAACTCTGAATAACTTAGTTATCTATGCTTTTGCAATGTCAATGTTTACTGAACTTTATGGCATACATTAATGATATGCTAACCACCTACCCAACTAATGCGTATGTCTTTCCATTAGCATCAGGATCTCTGACGGCGTTGATAATGGCCTTGGCCACATCCACCACCTGTGGGAGAAAAGAGACAGCTCAGTTGATTTCATGTTGTTCTCTAGAAACGTGTTGTTTTCTTGAGATAAAATGGGACTGGTGTAAACACAGATTATTTCAAAGAACACTGTGGCCACTTTAAAAGTTTTAAAACTTACAATGGAACTCTAAACTTTGAATCGGACACAAGTAAACATGTTTGAGGCTTGTTATCTTGCAACACTACAACTACTGAGAGTAGTAGTTTTTTTGTCTTTGCAATCAGTTTCTCTTCTGCAGGCAAGGATGGCTTCATTATAGAATCAAAACAAATAACCTCTGTGATTTTACAACCAGCAAACCTCTAATTGTGTTGAGTTATTTCTAGAAGTTTACACTTCTTTAAAGGAGATTTATCATGCTCACTTTCACCATCAATCATGTCAGAATGGGACATAATTGGTTGAGTAGTGTTGGGAGATGTGCAGCCCAAAAATCTCTTCAGTTATCTGATACTGGCATCGGTAAAATCCCTAAATTCATCCTCCGCCTGAAGCGGTTCATTTCAGCTGCCGTCTCTTTAAGGCCCCCCTCTCCAACTCCCCACTTCCCTCCAATATGCCAGCTCTGTTTGCAGTTGCAGGGAAATTTGAGTGAGCTTCCAGGTGAGTGTGTCCAATAACTTTGCTCTATGCTTTGCTCTGATACGTCGGCAGAACCTGACGTCAGTTTCTGGCCAAGTCTCGCAAAGTTCATAACATCTCGCTCAGAGCAGCAGGAGACCACAGCAAGGGATTTCGCCAACAACTGTGGCCGGGGTTTAGTT